CTTCTCTCTCCATGTGCCTCCTGCCCACCCCTGGCCCTGAGAAGCCTTCACAGATGGGGAGGATTTCATCACTGACCTTCCAAATAATAGTGCTCAGTTGCAGCAGACACAGGGCTAGGTGGAGACACCTCTGGGAAGCTCACCCTCTTGGTACAAGTCCAAGGCTTCCCAGGTGGCTGTGTCTTGACCCTTGGCCTGCGCCCCCAGCAGCAGCAGTGTGATGACTTTCTTCTGGCTCACCCTAAGGAGAAACGCCTGCTGCTGGACAAAGACAGAACCATGGGCCAGCCACAGAGCTGACCCGGGGCTCAGAGAACAAGGCAGGGTTTTCCTGGGAAGAAAGTACAAGCCACCTTCTCTCCAGGGCTTGGACTTCCAGATGGTGTGGTCCCTGGCTTCTGGACAACCATCCCCCTCCCATGGAATAGCTCCACAGGCATGTTCTCTTTGACATAGACAATGAGGTTCAACAGTCAAGATGGGAATGGGGAATGTACCCTCGTGTATACAGTCAAGTATGAGAACTGCCACCCACATAGCACTTTGTATCCCAGGCACTGTTCTGAGCATGAAGATAGTACATAAACAGAGAGACCCTTTCAGCTCTCCCAACAATCTTTTGAAGTAGTGAGGCAGATACTGGTATTATCTCCATTTTAAAGATGACGAAACTGAGGCACCGAGCGGCTAAGTATTGGTCCCAAGTTAACACAGCTAATAAGTAGTTGTGCTCGAACTCTGTCCAGGAGACTGGCTCCAGAATCTGTGCTTGTCAGCACTGGGCTACACTGCCTTGCAGATCTGTTTCACTGATCTACTTTTTGAAGCCCTTATCCCTGCTCCAAGAAATCATTTACTTCATTTTAATTTAAAGCAAAGATGAAAATAACCAAACCATTTTTCCTGCAGGGGGAGGGATGCTTTCTGAATGGATGGAGACCAAGAGGTACTTTGAGCCAAAAGCTGCCTTGCAGTTTAGCTGAGGCAGGATTAGAAATGGCGTGAACTGTGTCTGCATTAGCCAATGGCATGGGGTGCTGAGTGCCAGCAGAGGAGATTAAAATCAGACATATGTTTGGATATAAATGTTCTCTATCTCTCTCGCTCTCTCTTTTCTCTAGTTTTAAACCCCTGCTGCTTTGTTTCAGTAAAGTGCTGGAGCCTTAATTGTGGGCTCTGACCCTGAGGTAGATGCCTGGGGTGAGAGGCCTGCCTAGCCTTCTCTCAGTCTCTACGCATCACCACTGAAGGAAGCCAGGGCTCGACCAGTGCCCATGGACTCTGGCCCCTTCCCCACCACTGGCTGGAATTATCTTGCATGGCCTCAGCTAGGTTGTCCCACACAGCATGCCCCAAGTTGCTGGCCTCGATACATGCTAAACAGCCAACATACAGCTACTGTCTCAAGACCTTAGACCCTGGCCTGTCTGCCTCTGCTTTCCCAACAGTAGGAGGCAGCATTCCCCTGAAGGGCCTGGCACTGGAAGAGCTGGGGTACCCAGTGGGGGGGAAGGGCTCAGGAGCCCCTCAGTAGTCTCACTGTTGAGCCCAGAAAGCATAAACCACGCCACCGTGAAGAACTTGCTCTAGAAGGGACTTTGAGGCCAGTCAGTCCCCTGCTCTGCAGAGCCGCCAGGGTCTGAGGGTGGCCAGGCCACCTTTCCCACAGGAACACCCTGCCTGATCTCCTTCCCCCTCTTCTGTGGCTGGCACTCCAGTTTCTGTCTGCCATTAGGCCTAAGGATCGAGAAGTTATTGTGTACCAACTAAGAATCCAGTCCCTCGGTGAGCACGAGTGGCCCCTATGCTTAGGCTCAGAGTGGGCCTTGAAGGGCAGTCGAGCTGGTTCTGAACAGGACTGAACAGCTTCCAGAGGAAAGAGGCGGAACACAGGCAGGATCTATAGGAAGGTCTCTGTGCATTTGAGCTGCATATTGGCAAGGAAAGAAACATGTTCTCAACAGCCAGTAAGAGCCGAAGTGAGAACATACACTGACCTAGGAGTCAGGAGACTGAGGCCCTGGGCCCCCCTCTGTCCACTAACCAGCCATGCGACCTTGGATATGTCTTTCGGTTTCTCTGGGGCTCAGTTTCCTTGACCGTAAAATGTGAAGGGATCAGACTAAATGATTTTTTCACAACCTTAAAAAACTTCCAGAAGAAAATTCTAACTCCATATAAGCGCTGCAGAGTCTCTGCATCTAACCTCTTTCTGTAACTACTGCCCTGAAGAGCTCCAGCACTTAGGACCTTCCCGGGTAACAAGCCCTGCAGCTTAGCCAGGCCCTGGAATGAGTGTCTTCCCCTGCCCCCCCGCAGGCACTAAAGGCTGCACCTAGGTCCTTGTGGGCCTCCTCCCTAAAAAGGGGTAGGATCCATTCTGCCCCGGTGCGTTCACAGGGGAGGACAGACCCAATATGCCGGCGAAGCGGGCTCAGTGCTTCCAAAGCTGACATGGTGCCCCAGGTCGAAGCGTCAGCCCCATTGCCCAAGAGCCCACCCTGCGGCTCTGAGGCTTCCCATACCTGGGAGCCAGAGTTCCTGCCCCCCACCCTCACTCCCTTCTGGAAGGCTGTCCTCAATCCCAAGACCTGAACGTGCTCAGCCCCAGCACAAATGCAGCACAGAAGAAGCCTTTTTCCTTTGACTCTGCCCCAGGGTGGTTTCCGGCCCTCTCTCTGCCTCTCCCCTCAGACCTTGTTCGGTAGAGACCTGTTATCCCCCAGAGCTGCTGTGGAATTCCCTAGTGGCCCACACCGCCATCAAAAAAGGAGGGGTGTTATGAAGATGGCTCCCCATCCCTTTTTCAAAGCAGCAGCCACAGTCACCACTAAGTGCATGTCCAGAAAGCTGTTCTAAAGAGCCTGGGTTAGTCCTGGGCCCTAGTAAAATGGACAATTCTTGGTTTTTCCACCGGTCCTAGACAAGTCCTACCCTTTACTCCACTGCAGTTTGCTTCTGGGGGCAGGGTGGGAAGGGAGGGCGGAGAGGACACAGATTTGGAGGCTCGGAAGCCTGCGCGGCAGTGCGTGCCTGTGCCCTGTGAGCTGCCACGAACACCCATTCCCAGAAACAATGCGTTTCTCCCGGGAATTCAGAGCTGGCCCTTTCTTGGCCATTCTTTAACTGCTGCAGAGTGCTGCCTGCCTCTCGCCCTCTCCAGTGCCAGAGCTCACACCCACTCAGCCTCGAGTCCCTGCATTGGTATAAATACAGGCGCTTAAGCAACGCTGGGTCCCGGTGCCTGCAGCCGCCCTGGACGTCATTACTCAGTAAGCGTCAGGAGACAGACACCCACCACCACCAAGACAGGGTTGACTCTTTAGCGCCCAGAGAACAGAAGCAACACTGCCTATGGGAAATTTTAGCCAAACGACGTTATTGCAGACCTCTCAAATCCAGGTCCCTCAGGTCCTCGGGTAGAACCAGTATTGCCTGACCGGCAGCTTCTGCTGAGGTGGCATTTAACTTCCGGCCAGGTCCCAGGAGCTGAGACTGACCCATTTCCCCTGCTCTTCCTGGGCACAGGGAATGTGGTTATACCCCCAGGAAAACCAGGACTAACACACTTAGCTCATGGAAGGTACACTTGAGTGGGGGTGCTTTCATTTAACTAAGGAAAGGGTGTCGCTGGCTCTAGCATTTTCCTGTACTTTAAAAGAAAAAAAAAAATAATTAACATTTTCTTCCCATCACACCTTACCTCTCCCCTCTTTCTTATTTTTGTTTCTTTTTCCTTAAACAGAAATACTTCGTTGCTTATGAGAACCGCAGATTCAGGGTCTTATTCAATTTAACCCCTTGGGGACATTGAATCAAAAATTGAACAATATTTATTAAAATACAAAAATACACTTTTCTCACATTACAATCAGTGTTCTTTTGTTGGCATTCGCCCCCCCACACCCATCCCACCCTCTTTCAAAACTGAACCTTTTATTTCCTTTTAAAGCTAAAATAATTAAAGAAGTTACATCAATAACTGGACCAGAGTAACAGAGATCTCTGTGGTCGGCCCCTGCCCACCCCAGCTGTGCCCCCTCCTCCCGAGGCGAGCCTGGGGGAGTGAAGCCTTCCCCCTCCCGTGCCCCTCCAGCCGAACTCACGGTGTACACGTGTGCCACTCTGAACTGTGGGTTTCACGTCTTTTATGTGAACAAACCACCCTGGTGGGGAAGGGCTTCATCACTTGAAGCGAGCCTGTGCCCTTTTCATCTCTCCTCCTGGTCTGCCCCCTCCCCCTCCCCATCCCCATCCCCACAGCCAGTTGACATCAGCTGGAATAATCCCTAATGAATCAGCATTTAGAATAGTCACCAAATCACAAGCAGGAGAAAGGCTTCCACTTCCCCCGGCTCCCCACTCCCAGCCTCTCCTCCCCTTGCCACCTTAAAACTAAACACCACCTTTTTGAAAAATCATAAAATGTCAGCATTGTCTGCGGTCATTTGTCAGACACCTGGAACAACAGGTGGACTTGGCCCTGTGCTAACTCACGGCCTGCCGTAAACACACCCTGTTCTCCGGTCCTCCCTTCCCACCTGGTCGTCCCACCCGGTCCGGTCCAGTCCATGCTGCCGCACCCCCTTCAGGGCCCGCCTCCTTCTCCTCCTCCTCCTGGGGAACCCTAACTCCACACCCGCCTTGCACAGAGGGGGTTAAGCCGAGCTGCAGACCTGGTGCAGTGAGGAAGCATCTGAGGAGCTAAGCCAGCTCCTTCCCTCCCTGCTCCTTCCTGAAGCACCCAAGGCACATGCGTGTCCCAGTGCACAAGCCCGAGAGTTGTGCACATGGACAGTAGACAGACAGACAGACAGACTCAGCCCCTTGAAGGAGTCACTGGAATTAGAATAGTTTGCTTATCTAAACTACACTCACAGATCTGTCTTCCCCGTGGTCTCTGAAGGAAAAAAGAATTATTGCCTCTTAGCATTTTGGCACAATACAAATTCTTGGTGGGGTTTTTATTTTTTTGGAATTTTTTTTTTTTTTTTTTTTTAAAGAAGGTAAGTCTGTAAAGACGGCTCTCGACTTAAGAAAGATGTCTGTAGAAACGGGTATCCCCTGTGTCCTATGAAGCATTTTCTAAAAAGTGACAGATTCCATGTGTCCCTCCCACCCCCGTCAACAGCCCACACCCTACCTCTGTAGGCATGTGCGCTGCTGTTTTAGTTGGTTTTGTCTTAACAGTTTCAACCTTATACCAGAAATCTCTTCTGGTGGCACAGCAAGTTGACTTGTGGCTTCTACCCCACACTGTTCCCAAGATCCCCTTTCCCCTCCCCCTTTAAATAGAACTTACAAGTTAGAAAATAGTTTTGTTTTGATTTTTTGTTTTTAAATTTTAATATAATCTGTTTCTTTTACCAGCCCATAGATTTAATATATAAGCATATACAAGAAAAAGGTCTCTCCCCACTCTGTACAAAAGTTGCTGTCTTTTTTGTGTGTGTGCATTCTATTGCATTTTGTAAGTTTTTGGGGGAAAGGGGCATCATATTTGAGTCTCCTGTACCTTGTCCTTGGTATGGGTCTGAATTATATAAGGTTCGGAAATAGTGGTGACTGTGGGGTGCAGAGAGTTCCCCAGGCTGTTTTCTGTCCAGTGGGCCCCATGTGCTGGTTTGTAGGTGTTGTAGTTAATGTGGTCATGGATTGTGGGCAGCACTACCGCCCCCTCACCTGATACAGCGGATGGAGGCGCTGTTGCTGCTGCAGATGCTGCTGCTGGGACGTCTTCATCCACCTGGATAATCTCAACGGTCCGCGCGGCTGCGACTGTACTCCGCTGCTGGTGCCGCTTACGAAGTTTATAGAAGACAATCAGCATGGCGGCAGCCAGCAGAGTCACTGCCACAAAGCAGCCAATGATGATCTTGGTGGTCTTCATGACCTCATCCAGGCTGGTCTGCATCTTGTCATTGGTGTCTGCCGTGGGTACCACCACCTGCTTGGGTACACGGGTGGTCTGAATGAGCACCGTGGTAGAGGTGGTATATGCCGGCTGGTAACCAGTGGACGTGGTAGGAACAGGCTTATACTTGCGCGTAGTGTCCTCAGGCGAGATCTCGGTGGTCTCCACTGTGACCGTGGTAAAGAAGCTGTAGTTGGAGGTGTTGAGCTCGGCCGTGCTCACATTGAGGTAGGCCGAGGCATTGGAGTTGCCTGCCACGTTGGTCACCATGCATGTGTATACCCCAGTGTCTGAGAGTAGCACATGGGAAAAGTTCAAGGTGCCATCATTGAGGACAGAGATCCGTGGGTGGCGGGAGGCGTGGCTGAGCACTGTCCCATTGGGCAGCATCCACTTCACAGAGGACATAGGGGGCGTCCGACACTTAAGTTCTGCCATCCGACCCTCAGAAATATTGAGGTCCCGAGGGGCGTCCATGATGAAGGGGGCAGAGCACTGGAAGGAGGCCTGGTCCACCTCCACCAGGTAGCGGCCTCGCATGTGCATGGGAGCATGACAGCGGCCACAGCAGGTAGAGTTGGTGGGTATATACTCCCGAAGCCACCAAGCCAGCCACAAGATGTCACAATCGCAGTTCCAAGGATTGTGGTGCAGGTGCAACTCCACCAGGTACCTCAGTGGGGCGAAGAGGTCATGGGGCAAAGAGGAGAGGTTATTGTGGGCCAAGTTGAGTTCCACAAGCGAGGCCAACCCATCAAAAGCATTCCGCTCGATCATGCTGACCTGTGAATTCATGACCCAGAGCTTCTTGAGAGAGCTCAGGCCATGGAAGGAACCAGGCCTGATCTCAGGGAAGTGGTTCCCTGACATCTCCAATTCCTCCAGCCCCACCAGGGGGGTGAGGTTGGGCATATCTTTAATGTTGCACATGCCCAGGTTCAGGTACTTGAGGTTGAACAGTCCCTCAAAAGCCCCCTCAGAGATATATTCCAGTTTCTTCAGCTCCCCCAAGTCCAGGCGCATGAGGGAGGGCACCCGGTTGAAGGCATAGGAGGGGATGCTCTCTATGGGGTTGTTGCGGAGCCAGAGCTCACGCAGCTTGGACAGGTACTCGAAGGCCCCGCTGGGGATGACTGTCAGCCAGTTGTCAAACAGCTCCAGGGTGTTGAGGCTGGCCAGGCCGTTGAAGGCCCCCACTTCGATCTGGCGGATGGAGTTCCTGCCCAGCTGCAGGACCTCCAGGTGGTGGAGGTGTCGAAAGGTGTCAGCCTGGATCATCTGGATACTGTTTTCCATGAGGTTGAGGTACCGGGTGTTGGAAGGGATCCCCTGAGGGACCTCCGAGAGGCCCCGGCGGGTGCACACCACCTTGCTGAACTGGTTACTGCAGGAGCAGACGGAGGGGCAGTTCTGGGGCCCGGCCGAGGCGGCAGCGGTGATGGCCGCGCACAGAATGCACACTTGCGCCGTGAGGTAGACGACTGGGAGCAGGACGGCGTTCCAGGTGTGGTGCACAGTTACCTGCCACAAGAGCTTCATGGTGTGGCACGTTCATAATTCACCATCGCCTGGGATTTTGGCTCGGAAGGGAGAACCAGCCCTACCCCGGCTTAAGTAAGCTAGGAGCTCCTCTTTCCATCTGGAGAAGGAGGTGAGGAGGGGCGATTAGACAGGGCCAGCAGACCGGCCGACAAACAGCACGCCGAACTACAGAGCGCCCCCTCGCCGACCACCCCCCACCCCAGCCCTCCGAAGCTAGGACTTTCTCCCCCATTTGCAACCCTCCCCACCCAAATCGCCGTCACCTACCTTGGAAGGAAGGAATTGGCGTGGTGTCCTTAAGCTTTCTCCGCGGGAGCTGGGCACGTCGTTCCCAGTCTCACTTCTTAGTTTTAATTAACAAAAGGGGGGAAGTGGTGGGGCCGGGGAGGGCGGACTGGAGGGGAGGGGTGGGGGAGACAAAATGGCTTCTAGTCAATCCGGAGCCGGATCAGGCGAAGCCGCGGAGTTGAGGCGCACCCGGGAGAGCCGAGGCCCGGCGGGCTATGCAGGTGCATGCCCCCCCCTCCGCCCGAGGAGCGGCGCCACCAGCGCTTTCCTGCTTTGTCCTTGGACCCTGGCACCGGCTTGCGCCAGCGTAGGGGAGAGCCGCTTCATGGCCAAAGTGTGCCTCCGGCGCCCCCAGCCCGCGACTCCACGCCGCCGGAGGGCGCAGGGCCCGGAGCCGCCGGCGGCCGCCGCGCCGCGCTCTCCTTTGTCGGCCGCTCGGGCTGGCACCGCGGATTGCAGTCGTCGGCGCGCGGGGCCGCGAGGGTTAAGAGGAGGTGTCCGGCTCCGCGCCCTCCCCAGACACACGCCCCCCTTCCTCGCCTCTTCCAGCGTGCAAGGGTTAAAAAGGGGAACTGGCGGAGTTTCCAGTCCGCGTTCCGGGCGCGGGTAGCAGCAGTCCGTGCGGCCCCGAGGGGC